AATCTGTCAGGACAGCAAGAGACACACAACTAGTAATGATACAGCATGTGAAGTCCTACACAACTGTTTTCTAGTTAACGCTTAAATGTTGAAAGAAGAAACATGGATTAAATAGTGTTTCTACTTTTCCTTATTCTAAAAATGTTACTGCTGTTAAAATAAGTATGAGAAAACAGTTATTTAGCCGATTGTGACTCTATATGTGCTAAGACACTTAACACTACCTTTTACTAGCATTGGCTTTGTGAGGAACATAGATGAACTACTATCATTGAGTCATCCTATTACTCTTTTTTTACTATTCCCTCCAAAAGCAGTATCAAACTACTTCAAATTTTCTTTATTTGAGCTAGACTTTTGCACCAAGCTGTAACATGAACCAGTAGTCAACTTGTGGATTGGCTGTTCATGGGTCAGTTGCCTGATCATTTCTGGTCCAATTAGCTCTACCCTAGGAGCCAGGCCCACCACGGTATATTGTCCAAATAGTCAGTGACAGAAGAAACAATTATAATATACCTAGGACAATAATCAGCTCTCTAACTCACTATTCTGAAGGTGTCTTCAGTTACTTCATGAAAATTTAGGAAATTAAAGTTGAGATTCTCCATAAAATTTTGAATCTAAGACTTCTGAGTAGTTGCGGTCTATAGTTAGCAAGAATAGCTAACAGTTTTCGCAGCGTTAAGAGCTTACTTGTATGTACCTTTGAAGAATATGGTTTACATAACTAAAGTGAGCACAATGGGAAATGAATGAAGTAAAAACTAGAGCCTCTGAGCCACGCATTATCTCAACAGTCCTTCACACAAAAGGTTGAGGAAAATAATGCAGAATCCTATCAGAAATTCAGAATTGGGCTCTTCAAAGATTCTGATTCTGATGTACTCTAAATGGGAAAATCTGCAAGAGTATTTGTTCTTTTTTTTTTGTTGTTCTTAACACTGTAAACAAAGTTGAATGTCATAATGCTATTAATGAAACAAGATATATACTTTTCTTTTCTCCTTTTTAACTTGCCTCTGCCACAGGGAAGTACAAATGAGGTAAGTTAAATTTTTCAAAATTAAGAGCTATATATTTGTAAGTATATATTATTTTATAAACTGACTAGGAATTAAGGATATCTTAATGTAGATTTAAAAATCTTTAGTAACCAATGGTGTCCTATTTGGCATTGAAATTCTTAATTATAAATTTTAACATATCCAAACATTAGGTGGGAAAAATAGTTGATCATAAAGAGTATTTGATTTACTTTCTGAATATATAGAAAATTTCAAAATTCTTAAGCTCTGTTAGTACCTTCTGCTCTACTTCAGCATGAAGCCAGTGGTTATGAAATTTGAGTAAGTGTACTTTCAGAGGGTATTTAAATGTAGCTACAACCTTTACAAGCTGTTTTTAACTTTGGCCTTTGAGTGACAGTTACCCATACCACGTTAAGCAGGTTCTACACCAGTGTGTACTCTTAATTTCCTTGACATACCTCAGACCTATAAATTGGCACCATTTCCCCTACAGCACTATATGGTATGTACAAAACTATACATGAGGGGGAAAGCTGAGCTTCCAGGAAGAAATAGCTTTTCACACTCAGCAAAATTCTCTGTGGACTCACATAGGTCATTGTCTGCAGGGAACAAAGCTAATCTTGAGCGATATAGAGATAGCCCATAATTCTTTCCTCAGTTTCTCCTGGAGTATGTAACTGCATTATTCCCTCTAATTAAACACCAATAATATGGTGAATATTTACAAGTCAGAAAGGAATTCTTTTATGTAAAACAAATTCATTGAAAAAGTAAAACCAGGGCTGGGCACAGTGGCTTACAACTATTGCCCCTGCTACTTGGGAGGCAGAGCTTGGGAGGACAGTGGTCTGAGGCCAGCCTGACCCCATCTCAGCAAACAAGCTTGGCATGATGGTACACATCATGATGGGATCTGTAATCCCAGCTTCATGAGAGATGTAGGTAAGAGGACTGTGGTCTGAGGCCAGCCCAGACAGACCCTATCTGAAAAAATAAATAAACAAGAAGGGCTGGGGTGTGGTTCAAGAGTTCAACCCCTACTATTGCCCAAAAAAAAAAAAGAAAAGTAAAAGCAGATTTCAAATTTGCAAAGCAGACCTTAAGAAAAAAAAAATCTAACTTTTTTAAAGAACTAGGACTAAATGTATTAAAATTAGAATATAACAGAAGACAATACCATGCTGCACTAATATGCATTCATGGAACTGAAAACGGTATCACTGTACTTACAGCATTAAGAAAATTGTAAGAAAACAGCTACAGACTCACAAATGAAAATTTCCTGGGAATACAGTACTATTTGAGGGACATCAAGATTTTACCCAGTTCTTAATCTTTTTCTTTTTTTAAATGGGACTGGGGTTTAAACTACTCAGCTCTTAAAAATATTCAGACTTTTTACAGACTCCAGAACAACTAAGTCATAACTGAGTGTCTAGTATGTGAAAGTCAGAGGAGGAAAGTCCCACTAGCTGAGGGGAAAAACAAAAAGGTATTTATGGACAGTTAATATGCAGGATGTAAAAATTCCTGTGATTCAAACACTGTTAAAATGATACCAGGCTGGGCATGGTGGCTGATGCCTGTAATCCTACCTACTTGGGAGGCAGAGATTGGGAGGATTGTGGTTTGAAGCCAGCCCAGGCAAAGTTTGCAAGATATCATCTCAACTGAAAAGCTGGGCATGGTGGCACAAACCTATCATCCCAGCTACACAGGAGGCATAAATGAAGGATTGTGGTCACAGCTGGCCCCAGGGAAAAATGTATAATCACATCTGAAAAATAACTAAGGCAAAAAAGGGCTAGGAGTGTGGGTCAAGTGGTAGAGCACCTGCCTAGCAAGTGTGAGGCTCTGAGTTCAAACGCAGTAAAACACGCACAAAAGAATATAAATAATTAGAACTAATTTTAGTGAGGAAAGACTTTCTGAGGTGGATTTTCTGAATAAGGTTTTCTAAGATCTGAACTAAGTAATGGAAATAAGGCAAGAGAACATGTGAAATGAGGGACCCAGTGTGGAAGTGGGAGAGGAACCTTGTGCTTAGCTGGAAAACCAAGTAAGTGCATTAGGTAAGAATGGGGGATATAACTGGTCTCCTTCCTAAAAACACATTGGCAGTCAGAAGTCACAAGCTTTTATTATTCATCTGAAAGGTAACATTCACAGTCTGTCCACACAGTCCTAGCACATGGTGACGGGAAAGCTATGCTCCAAGAGGTATGCAGGGTAAAAGGAAATGCAGCCTGAGAACAAAACAGTCACCGTGAAGGTCATCCACACAAGTGTAACACATGCTGAAGAGCTGAAAATATTTCTGCATTTTAAGATATTAGCTATTAATTTATGTCTTAATATGGAGCAATGATGTAAAGATTCCAGTTCAGCACACTGAGTTTCATATAGTACCATAAACTAACTGAACAAAAAGGGAATATTTTCATCTGTGTGCTAATGAAGTGTTTTATAACCCTGATTCTTACATTCTAGGCTTTATACAAGCTGTACAGTGCAGCAGCAACCCACAGACATCTGTACCATCAAGCTTTTCCTGCACCAAAAGCAGAACCTACTGAACAATCAGAAAAGAAGAAATTTTAATTCAAATTTAAAAACTACAGGTGCATGACCATTGTCAGTTAAATATTCAGTTTTTTGTTTCCATGCAAACATTCAAAGTGCTTCCATCAGAACAGAGAAAAATACCAAACACTTCTGAAGACTGCAGAATGGTTTAGTTCTTTTATTTCAGTGATTAATAAGCAGATGTTTGAATGCATGGTTATGTCATTTTGTTAACTTGTACAGTTTCCTGATTTTTGTCTTTAAATATACTGTTATAATTTAAGATATCTGTGTATTTATGATGACAGTACATGTGTTCTGCTTGAATTTGCTAAATTCTACTACTGGGTTAAAATTAAGCCATGTAGTGATATTACTCCATGTTTGATATGCTCACTTAATTTCTACAGAAAAAAATTATTTCGCATAGCTCTGTTACAGCACAGCATCATAACTCAGCAGGCTTGATTTAATCAGTATAATCTTACACATACCACAAGCTCTTATTTTTAAACACATTTAAGAACTTTTCAGTTGCTTTACCAAAAACTATAGTGTTTCTTTTATATTATGGCTTAATATAGAATGTAAACTTCTTGATCAAAAATGCACAAGAAAATCACTTTGTATATGTATTTGAGTTTCACTGCATTGTATATTTTTTCATTTCGTACACAAGAAATGTATTCTTCATAGGTTTATTCTTTTAACATTTAATTATTGAAGTTTACTCTGGTTCCTAACATTAAAACAAATGCTTACTGAATTTGAAGCTGTCTGGAAGGTGTTGATATAGAATTTGTCTCTTTTTAAAAAATTCAAGATGCATTTTCTTTATTGTTGACACCATGACACGTTTAAGTTTCATATGCTAATTAACCACTTTAGGTATCTTCCAGTCCTTTTTTGTTTTTTTGGTTTTTTTGAGACAGGGTCTTTCTGGCCTGAAATTCAGTCTGTTTCAGGCTAGCTCAGACTCGTGACCCTCTTGCCTCTGTAGTGCCCTGCCATGCCCGGCAGGGTTCAATAATGCATTTCTAAGGACTAGTGTCTAGTGGAGTTTCATTAAGCAGAACTCCTAGGTGGTGTGGTAATGAAAAAAGTAATGCCTCTTATCTGGGAAGTCCAAAGCAGACATTTCTAACTGTCTCAGAAATGGCTAACAGGAAAGAATAATTAAGATAGAACAATGTGTGTAGTAAGTGCATGACAGATATTAGCTTTCATCTTAGGAAAGTCTGATTACAAGCTCACTAAATTATCTTTCCCACTTATAAAATTCCACTAGCCCTACTTTCATATCCCTTTCATTATATTGCTTTCTTGGCCTATGAGCCTTCTGAACAGAAAAATCAAATGTTGTCTATGTCTAAAACATGGACTCAAACACCACACATTTAATTTCCACAAAAATATATTTAATAAGCTTGTTATATAAAATCAAACACTTAAAACTTTATCAATAATCCAGACTCACTTATACCTAACTGGGAGTGCTTTGTATTATGGAAGACTATGTCTAAACTAAAAATATATTTACATATTTACAACACAGTAAGTATAACTGAAGAGCTATGAAGTTCACAGAATTCTTGAGATTTACAGGCTAGAAGTATCATAAATCTGGCTTAACCAAGTAGGGAAAAATGGGAGGGAAATACATGGTTTAAAGTTTTGTGACAAACACTTCCCTAAGATAAAAAGGCAATATAAAAGATTTCTCACTGAATACATGATTGTCATTTTTGGCGTCTTAACCCAGTCTGTCAGAAGGCAGTGTGCTATTATTGGGAAGCCTGCACTGCCTCACCAGAGGCATGCTGCATGCAGTGAGACCTGGCTGAAAGGAAGTGATGTTAGCAACACACCTTCCCTCACAGGCAGAGGCCTTATGTTCAAGTTCATTTCTCAAAGATTTTTCTCAACATGGTTCAAAAGGGATTCCTTACATTAGGGGTGGGGGGTGAGACATGGACAACCACATACACCATTTAGAAATTTATCACAAAGGTTTCCATTTTGTAATCTGAACTACACCATGGTAAAAGTGGTATTTAAACCATCCAATTCTAGAAAACATTCCACACTAAAGCAGTAGACAACTTTTTAAATACTGCATAGATTTTATATGATATATATGAAGAAACATACCACTGCTGTAAGTTGTACCAAGGATCCATTTCCTATTTAACATCAGGTTATAACGACACTTCCTTACTACATTTTTCTCTATCAATATTCAAAGCAGTTTCCTAATACACACCATTTGAAAGTGTATGTATGCCATGTTGGTTTTTAAAATGATAAACTCATTTTTTGTCCAATAAAAGAATTTCTAATAACAAAATACATGTAAAATTTAAGAATTTTTAATTTCCAAAAAGTAAGCTGCCTTTATTGACCCAAAGTACTTGTTTGCAGTCTTTATCTGTGAAAATATTTTAAAGCTCTTAAAAAGCTGCAGTTTATTTTTAAAAGTTAACTTAAAAATTCTTGCCATGTTGCTGGGCATACCACTGCTGTCTCTGCTTGCGGTTTTCCAACTCGGTAAGCAGAGCCTGTCTATAGGCTTCATACATTTTAACAATTTGTTCCAGTTCTTTCATGAAGAGCAACTTCAGTAGTCCCTGGTATTTATCCAGGTCAGCCAGCTGGAAGAGCTCCCACTTCAGAATGTGGTCATATCTGTTTTAAAATACAATTTCATAACACATATAAATATAGATTTCTAGCAATAAACTAGTTACTTTTATAAATGTATCAATTTTATTATATATTATATAATACATATTATACATTTATAAATAAACCACTAGGCTTTACTTAAAGATATTTCTTATTCACTTGCTATTTAAATATCTTTGTTTTTTTTGAGAGGGCTTCCTCCATGTTGCCAGGCCGTTCTTAAACGCCTGGGCTCAAGTGATCCTCCTGCCTCATTCTTCTGAGTAGCTGGAACTACAGGTACATCCCATCACACCCAGCTCTAAACACCTTGTACTTCCTACCACTTGAACCAAGTCCCCAGCCCTTTTTGCTTTAATTAATTTTTGAATAGGGCTTTGGATTTATGTTCAGGCTGGCCTGACCCACAATCCCATTTCTGCTTCCCCCTGGAATGACAGGCATGTGCTTCAACACAGAGTTTGTTGAGATGGGGTCTTGGGAACTTTTTGCTTGGACTGGCTTTGAAATGAGATCCTCTCCACCTCTGAAGTAGCTAGAATTACAGGAATAAGCAAATGTACCCAGCTTAACCACCTATATTTAGGGAAGGGAGAATCTTCATTTTAAGTTAAAGATTACCCATTTATTTTAAGTATCAGTTAGTCTAATGTGCTAGACAACCAGGAACACCAATTTCAAACTATAGTGGTTCCTAATTTCTGAAAAACACATTCTGTACTATTCCTAAGTTCACACAAAGTTAACTGTTAGCAACTTGACAATACTTTAGACCACACTGTGCTTTTGTGTGCCCACATAAAAATGCGCAGTCACTTGTGTCACTAGTGTTGATCTACTTGAGGAACATTACTCACTCTAGCAAACAGGGAAACTAAAGGGAGGAGGAATAAAGAGGGACCAGCATTTGTAGACAAAGTATTCCCAAGAATGAGTACTAGTATTAAAAAAAAGATAGAACTCAAGGAGAAAAAAGTGTTTTCAAGATGAGACAATATGTAGACTGTAGAAGGCTTCAGTGTGGCAAAGGACTCATGTAAGATTATATTTACCGAAGTCATGGATGGCCTTCCCAGTCCTCCTTCATGGTTAAGTGGATCATATGCTCAGATCGAACTATGCAACCAACTACTAAAGTGTAGTACCTTATATTTTGAAATGAAAGAGATCTGGAGATAGCACTCTAATTAATTTTCTCATTTAAAGATGAAAAAAACTGGGTTGAGGTGGTAACTCGGTGGTAGAACACTGGCCTAGTATGCGTAAAGCCCTGGACTTGCTCTCGAGTACCACACAATCACACAAAGAAACCCCCTGAAACCTAGAGGCTATTCGTCTCTTGTAAAAGTGTCTAAAAATTCACAGAGGCAGAGAACTATAGACCAATAAGCTTTACAATAGTAGTTTTTCTTTGCTAATGTACATTAAAAGTAGACACACAACTTGAACTAGAGCAAGTCATGTACCTAAACTGAAGTCACAGCTCTCAAATCATTACACAGCAGACCTAACAAAGCTTTGATGACAAATTCTAGTAAATCTATTTTAAAAAGTTATATTATATCCTACATAATGGTTTCTTTTTTTCATCACTCATTTACCATTTTATTCCAAAAGATTGTCTATGTAATGTAAAAGATACATAATGTTTTTGAAAAAAGAAAACAGCAAACATACACTGTGCAGTAAGTATGAACTACATCCAGTCAAACTTGGGTGTGTGTACCAGGAATATGAGAAGTGCAATACTCAAAACCACACGATAAACATATTTCACTGGATTTCAAATTTATTCAATTACTTGAGAATTGCAAGTTACTGATTTCTTTGTATAAAGATGTGTGTTCTCTTTTATGGGAAACTCCAATTACTTGTGAATAGAAATTGGAGAGATACCACAAGAAATACTCAAAGAGCCTGCATGAAGAAACAGTTATTACACCTGCAGTATTTCCCAGAACTTCTGCCATTCATGTAGCTAAAGTTTTTATTTATTTGAAATAAACTCATATTTCCTAACAAAAAGAAATCTTCATCTTCCAGAGTGTCCTGCTTTGTTTCACCCAAGTTTCTGGCACTTACCTAGATTCTTCGTTTTATGACAAGTACTGTACTACTTTACAATTTAATCTTAGTTTCTTATATCCCTAATAGCAGAGGTATACACATAAAGAAGTGAAAGTTCAAGAAAAGTCTGAAAAACTAGTATTTCTAATGAATGATTTTCAAACTTCAAAAGCTCTGATCTCCTTTCTTCAAATAAAATATTACTTAGAAGTCCAATATTATTACAAGAAAAACATGGCACTACTTATATAGCTCAGAGATCCCCTTCAAAGCTATGTATGCTATATGTTCACTTACTTCACAGGGGCTCGAGCATAAACCTGAAGCCAGTCAGGAATTTCTGTAGTGTGGTAAGGATTTGCAGGGACCAGAAGGGACTGATTTCTTTCAGTTTGCTGTGGCTGATAGGTGACAGGAGGAGGCTGATCATACCGAGGTACACTACAAAGAAAGAATTGACATTAAGATAAAAAGTCCTGAATCTAGGCAAGAAACTATAAAATACAAGTAACATTTAGTCATCTCTCAATGTCCTTCTTGCCCAAATTGACCACCTTCTACACCTAAAAGACAACTTTCTATGATAAAGGTCTGGGTTTTTTAAAAATACTATATGGAAATAAAATTTACCTTCTCTTGGAAACTGGTGTGTTGTTAGTGGTAGACATAAACCCATGTTAAACCTTCTCATATTTTAAAGACATTTCTTCTGGCTGGTATTTATTCTTTTCAAGGACATTGTCAAATGTTGAAACCAAATTGTAACCTTTACACAGAGGTAAAAGTATGAATTTCTGCAATAACTAGTAATTAGCTGTAAAATTTTTATTGGAAAGGTGATAGTTCTCTCCAGATGAAAATGTGATAAAGCACTGCAGGAGTAAATACCATACCAGCTTAAGAATGAATGGGGTTACAGTTGATTAAAACCTATTTTAAAGCACAGAGGCTTTAAACAAAAACCATGCTCTACCTAGTTCTCACAGCAGTGTATGCTGAGAGGAGGTAGAGAATAGCTAAATAGGGAGGGATTATTATATGGCAAAGTGCTAAGGAAAGCATTGAGCCACCTCCAGGTTAAGGATTGAATCCTGGTAGACCAAAATGATCTATTTCAGACTTTAAGACAAAACTGAAAGGAGTCTGCTAAACATAAAAGATTTGTGTGTGCATCAGAAAAGGTCCCTGCTTTCTAATGTGTGATTAAAATAAAAAGATTGCACTGTGATTAACAATTTAAAGATAATGAGCAAATGGTACTGAACTGCATCTTCAACTTTTCTTTCATAATGAGGTTCAAAGAGAAACAGTCACTGATTCCACAACTGAGGGGTAGGAAAGATAGGAGGTTCTGAATGTGGGTGAAACTGCTTCACTTCCCTAAGCCTGAGCTCCTTATTTATAAAACTGGAATGATACATTCATCACAGATAGTGGTTCTGAGAATTAAATGAGCTAATGAAAGTCCAGAGTTCTGAATAAGGACTGCATAATACACACAATCAAATAGCTACTGCTACCACCATGTGAACTGAAGGACAGTGTTTATTCTCCTTGTGTAACTCCCACAAGACTTGCTAAGAGAAGCAAATTAATTGTGAAAGTGCTTTATAAACCATAAAAATTCTATGATCATGTAAGGTTGATGATAAATAGAAAAGTAAACTCTCAAATCTGGTTATAAGGACCACTTATAAGATCTCTGCCATAAACCATAACTGCAGGTTTGGTTCTTTTGAAGGCAAAACAACCTCAGTCATTCAACAGGCATTAACTGAGTGCCACTAAATGGAATCATTAGAAAAATCAGATTTTCAAAGTTGGGACAATAAACACAAACATATAAACCAATGATAAAGCTTAATGATACAGGTGATAATTCTAAAATGTATTTTCATGATTTTAATGATTCTAAAAATTTCTAAATATCCACTGTAACCAAAAATGTGTATTTCAACATGATACTAGGCAACATCAACATGCTGATGACATTTTTCATCTGATAGCTCAGTTCTTAAAGCTCACTATAGCTAATGTGACATATATGTTACTTCATCATTATGTTAATACTAGTTTTATATGTACTTTGAAATCCAGCACATCTCAATTGGATAAACCACATTTCAAGCACTCAATACCCACACGTGACAGTTGGCTACAATACTAGCACAAGTCTAAAACTGGCAACAAACCAAATCTACTGGCAAGCCCAGTGAAAATCAAAATAACCCAAAGAATTGCTGGCTGCATAAACACATCTGGAATCTTTTGTCCAATTTTCACTTTCTTTTCTGGTACAATAAGTAACAGAACATAAAATCATGTCTAAACTTGAATAATAACAGCAAGATACTATAATTCAAAAGTGTATTTTGACTTAGGAGGAGGTGGGTCTGAATAATAGGAAGTTAATATAAAGAGACAGATGTTTTCCTTACTTAAATTTCTGGGTATCTACAACAAAAACATTCTAGCATATCAAAGTAAAATCTGATCATAATTACAATGATCTTGTTTTACAGGTCATTAAAAGACAAAATCCTTGTCTTTTTTGCAGTACTGGGGCTTGAACTCAGGGCCTACATCTTGAGCTACTCCACGAGCCCATTTTTGTGAAGGGTTTTTTTGAGATAGGTTCTCATGGAACTATTTCCCCTGGCTGGCTTCAAACCGCAATCCTCCTGATCTCTGCCTCCTAAGTAGCAAGGGTTACAGATGTGAGCCACCATCACCCAGAACAAAATACTTTTTTTTTTTTTCAGGCACAAGATATAATTATATCCAATACAAAATACTTTAAAAAAAAAAACCTTTTTGGTTATTAAAGTCATTTATTACTAAAAATAAGTCCAGACAAAAGTGTCATACATTTTGAGAAATTTAAGGATTCAAAAATTTCAATGAGTCCAAACTTTAACACAAGACAAACTCAAACAGTTGAAAATAAAGTTGATACTCTACCTAGGAGCACAGGGGTGCCTGTATTGAGCCTTTTTATTGGTATGATCAACATAGTAAGTTCCAAATTCTGATGACTCAACTCGTTCCCAGCCAGGAGGAAGTCCTTCTCGTTCAAGAGGATGGCTCCAATGAGTCGTATTCGTGTTATGATCTATGTAATATTTTCTCCCTCTCATTGTCCAGTCCACAGACCAGCCAGGAGGAAGGGGTAAATCTTCAGACCCATGGTTAGTTAAATTTCCTAAAGATGTAGCAGCAACTCTCCCAATACCTCAGAGGAAAAAGAGAGAAGATATAGAACTGTTATTCAATTGTCTCTTTTGTTAAAATCTGTCATGTCATTATAAAATTTTTCATAAAACTAGCCAGTATTACATTTAATTACAAAAAGAGGAAAGAACTGTCTAGTTCTCTGAGATTAGTGTGGTACGTAGGTTGTTTGAAGCTCACATCACCAGGCCATACAAACATTTATTAGGCAGTGAAGCTTCTTAAGCATGTATACTGCTAAAGGAAAAGTGAGGAAAGATATATCTCACCTCATTCAAGATTTAAGATTTGACCTTTCATCTAAAAAGAAGCAAAAATGATCTTGTAAAACCATCCTCAGTTTATAGTTTCTTAAAAATTATCAGGCTATACCCTAGATTATCAAGTAATGTTATCAAGGTAGCAGGTTATAAGATCAACACAAAAATCAAATAGCTACATAATAATCAACGACTAACTAGAAACAGAAGTTATTGTAATAGTGCCATTTATAATGGCTCCAAAAATCAAATATTTACATATATATTTAACAAGATGTGCAGGCCTATATACTAAAAGCTACTAAAACACGGATGAAAGAAATAAAAGATCTACCACCATTTTTTTTGACAGCTCTGGGATTCGAACTCAGGGCCTCATGCTTGCTAAGCAGGTTCTTTTCCACTTGAACCACTCCGTGAGCCCCTAGCATATCTACATTTTGTACTGTGTATTATTTTATTTATTTATTTTTTTCGTGCCACTGGCGTTTGAACCTAGGGCCTCATGCTTACTAGACAGGCACTCTTACTGTATGAGCTACTCTGCCAGCCGAAGACCTACCATGTTAATGGGTTGGGAAAGACAACATAGTTAAGATGTTAATTCTCCTGAAGAGATCTTTAAGGTAATTCCAACCAAAATTAAAGTAGGAGTTTTTGCAGACTTAGGTAAATAACAGACTAGCAGACTTTAAAATATACACCAAAAGACAAAAGAACTAGAGTTCTTTTAAAAACAATAAATTGATTTTGGTTTTAAGACTTCCTATAAAGATACAGTAATCGGGGCAGTGTGGTATTAACAACAGAATAGATAAATAGATCTAAGGCACAGAACAGAAAACCAGAAAAACTCACATATGCAAATTCAACTGATTTCTGACAAAGGTGAAAAAATTTAATATTTTCAACAAATGATGCTGGAAAAATTGGACATCCACATGCAAAAATCAATTTACAACCTGTATTTCTCACCTTATATGAAGCAACTCAAAATAATTCTATATCTAAAAGTAAAACTATAAAAGGTATAGAAGCTAAAAATAGGACAAAATTTTATGATCTTAAATTAGGCAATGAGGATTTTTTTTCTTTGTTTTTGAGACAAGGTCTCACTATATATCTCAGACTGGCCTTGAACTCATGATCCTCCTTGTCTCAGTCTCCCAAGCAGGCAATCATGCTAAAAGTTCAATATACCTAAGAGAAAAATACTGAAAATTTGGACTTCAACAAAGTTAAAAACATTTGCCCTGTGAAAGACATTGAGAAAAAGAAAAGCTATAAACTGGCAGGAGATATTTTCAAACCACATGTCAAATAAAGGACTTTAATCCAGAATACATAAAGAACTCTCAAGACTCAACATGAAAAAAGCACAATCTTAAGTAACAGGCACTTCATCAGAGAAGACGTATAGATAATAAATGAACACATGAAAGTGGCTCAATATCACATTAGCCATCAAGAAGATGAAAATCACAATGAGATAACAATATATATCCATAAGAATGGCCAACAACACCTGACAATGTAAATTCTGAGGCGCAACTGACAACGCTCATACTCTGGTGGTAATGCAAAATGCTGCAGTCATTCCAGAAAACAGGTTATCAGGGTTTTGTTGTTGTTGTTTTTTAATAAACTTGACCTTTTTATAAAGTTAAAGCTTCTCATACAGTACAGCAATCCCATTCCTAAATATTTACCATAGAGAAATGAAAATTCATCTTCACATAAAAAAATGTATATGGATGTTTACAATGACAACATAACTGTCCCAAAGTGGAAACAACCCACATGCCCTTCAGCAGAATGGTAAATAAGGTGTAGTACAACCACACAGTAGAATCTACTGGGGGTTGGGGGAGACAGGAACTAACTATTGGTATGAATCTCAAAGACATTAAGAAAAAAGATGGTCTCAAGTGGCTCTAGATTCCAATTAATTTCTTCCATATAGTTTTACAAGAAGATAAAACTATGTCTAGGACAGAAGACCATGGTTGCTAGGAGCTAGAGTACAGGTAGACACTGATCACACACAGCATAAGGGAACTTTCTGGCATCCACAGAAATGTTCAAATATTGACTATCTGGCATTACAAGAATCTATTATGTATGTTAGGAACTGTGCTTCTTTTAAGAATGTTAAGCTTACTATATTTTACTTAAATAAAAGCAACCTGGCTGTGTAGTGTTATTCTCACACAAGAATATTAACAGTATATGTATAATGAATCCCCTCTAAACTCAGTGGCTTAAAAAAAGCAACGAGTTCATAAATTTATTACACAGTCTGTGTTCAGTAAGTTTCTCCCTGTTACTTTCTGTATGTTTATTGTTATCATTACTTCTTGTATGGCAAAACTTCCTATATGAGGCTTCATTGTTGATCAAACTTCATTTATTCTCTGACCTAAGCTATTTTTCTACCTCTAGTTCACCCTGATCAAGATCTCAAACATGGCAGGTCCCAGTTTTTCAGCCTCCCTAGAACATTCTTCCCTTGAAACTCATTCTTATTACCTATGTCAATCTACAACTCCCCAAACTGCACTTACTTTGTTTTACCTTTTTTATATCACCTTAACCTTTAGACTTATCATATAATTTTTATTTATCTACTTTCTTATCCTACAAAAATTCCACAAGGATTCTCATTTTTCTTATTCCAAAAGAAAGGTCCACAGGATAGGAAATTCTCAATCCCCTAGAACAGTGTGTCACTGGATCAGAGTGCATGTCAGTGTTCAATGAATACGTTACAATATGAAGACAGCAAGCTACTAGCGGAGGAAAGATGCATAGATCAGTGACTAGAGAACCTAGAAATAGACCAAGCAAATATAGCCACCTGCTTTTAAACACAAACACAACAACAAAAAAATCTATACCATCTGCCTGATACTCAACCTAGGACCCATCTAATGATCCATTGGAACAATGATTAAAAACTGCTTGAGAAGTCCACAAAATGAATTTCCACACAGCCATTAAAAAGGATGATTTTTTTTAAAGAGAAAAAACTGAGATAATTCTATAGGTAAAAGAAATGTAGGATATATTAAGAGAATAAAGAAATTTTCAGCCCCACTATTGACGAATGGATTAAGAAAACGTGGAATTTATACACAATGGAATTTTATGCAGCCATGAAGAAGAACGAAATGTTATCATTTGCAGGTAAATGGATGGAACTGGAGAACATCATTCTGAGTGAGGTTAGCCTGGCCCAAAAGACCAAAAATCGTATGTTCTCCCTCATATGCAGACATTAGATCAAGGGCAAACACAACAAGGGAATTGGACTTTGATCACATGACAAAGTGAGAACACACAAGGAAGGTATGAGGATAGGTAAGACATCCAAAAAACTAGATAGCATCTGTTGCCCTTAACACAGAGAAACTAAAGCGGAGACTTTAAAGCAACTGAGGCCAATAGGAGAAGGGGACCAGGAACTAGACAAAAGGTTAGATCAAGAAGAATTAACCTAGGAGGTAACACACATGCATAGGAGAGCAATGAGAGGCAACTCCCTGTATAGCTATTCTTATCTCAACTAGCAAAAACCCTTGTTCCTTCCTATTATTGCTTATACTCTCTCTTCAACAAAATTAGAGATAAGGGCAGAATAGTTTCTGTCTGGTAGCAAGAGGTAAAGGGGTTAAGGAAGGGAGTGGGGGGGTAAGGGAAGGGGTGGGGGGAAGGGGGGAGAAATGACCCAAACAATGTATGCACATATGAATAAAATAAAAATTAAAAACAAAAAAAGAAATTTTCAGGCCAGGATCTATTAAATAACACCATACTTCTTTAAAACATACAATTACTTACTATACACATATTAATAATCTGGGGAACAAGAAGAATATGGAGAACCTTTTACATGATTTTTACAAAGGCTCAGTTTTTCATAATCATGTATTTGTAATAACACTTTAAAAAAACTTGACCCAACGTGTGCATAGTGGTCTACACCTGTAATTTCAGCTACTTGGGAGGAGAATCACAAGTTTGAAGCCAGTGTGGCCAAAGTTAGTAAGACTCTATGTCAAAAACAAACATGGGGGGCATGGCTCAAGTGGTAGAACATTTGCTTAGCAAGCACAAGGCCCTGTGTTCAATCCCCAGGGCTGCAAACTTGACCCAATATAAAATTAATACTGAACACCTAATAGAGAACTGGCAAAAGAACTGAAGAGTACAGTATACTGGGGTGGGAAGTGGAGTTTAAGTGGTTAAAATGGATGACCTGAAAGTCCAGAAGCAATGTATCAAAAAACTGTATTAAAATGTTCTCCTTGATCCTTGGTCTTACTTTGCCTCTCTCCCTCCTGTGTTTTACCAGTTCTCAGATTAAGATGTTTCTTACAATCAAGAAAAGAAATACATTTGTTAGCCACTAGGCAGCAGCTACAGAGGTTCCTATCACTTCAAATGCATGTTCAAACACAGTCCAAAGACAGTATCCAATTCTTACAACTAGTTACTCATAATGGTTATGTCCCAGACAGAATTTTAAGATAAATTCATGTCCCTGTTCCTTAAAGATACAAAGACAGCATTCAAATGAAAAGTTAGTCAGTGTAAGACTAAATCAACCACATGGTCCAAACTGTCAAATTTAGAATACAATCAAATTTTCAAAATAAGAAAAACTGGATTATCATTTAGGTGTGAAAGATTACCATTCAAGGGCAAAAAGTCTGTTTGTCAAAAGTTTCAGCTGACTCTG